GGGGGCGCAGATCAAGGGAATAGAAGAGGCGGAATGCGCTCCGTGCCCCTCCCCCCTCCTCCTCCCGGCGGCCCCTCTGGCTCTTCGCGGCCCCGGCGTCGGTAGCGCGCCGAGTCCCTCTGCTCCAGCAGCTGGGCTGGGCCCCTAAAGGGAAATTGCACCGAATGGTTTCCATTGAGGTAAAATGCTGATTTGGGTCTGTTTGGGAGTGGAGGACTTCTCTGCGAACTTTTTTTAGGGAGCCCTCTTGGCTCTCCATATTCCCGCCCTGTTTACTTACTGTGCAGATGCAATAAAAATTGTAAACACGCAACTGACACTTGCAAGGAAGTGCACGTCAGAATATCCGAGAAAATCACACCTCTGAAGTGACCATTGAGTTCTGCCTTAGATTGACAGGTATGTCACTCACAGAAGTTTGCCACACACCCTCTTGTGTGTGACACGTCTATCGTACACTCTTTTCTATCGTCCAATTTGTGTTTTATTCGTGGTTAAGCGTTGGGATGTCTCACTCTTTAATTTGTAGAGTGAGAACAGCCTGGAGTCGCCTGGAACCCCACCGGCCCAAGTTGGCTCCATTGAGCGCGGCCCTTGGTTCCAGCGGCATTCCGTTCCAGCGACACGACCCAGACCGACCAACCGGCTCGCTGGCCGGACGGTCCGGCTGCGTGCGGAAAGTGTTGTACCAATGTGCGGCCTGGAGTCGGGCCAGCACGGGCTGCCTCAGTCGCGACCGGCCGGCCCAGCCCAGCCCTACCGCCTACCGCCAGCCGGCCCGGTCGCTCGGCATTCCAACTGACCACACCTGAGCGGAAACATGTTTACCGAGCCGAGTGCCGAGGGGGCTGCGAGGGCAGACTGTCTGGCGCCTCCGCACCTGCAGGTGTGTGACTGCCCTGGGGGCTGCAGAATGTCCCGCCGCACCTGCAGGTGTGAGTTTGCCTCGCACCTGCAGGCGTGTGACTTTCCTTGGGGGCAGTATTAGGCAGACCGACGCGTGCTTCGCACCTGGAGGTGCTTTCCTCGTACCTGTAGGTGTTGTTTGTTAACTCGCGGTTGTAGGTCTGTGGCTGTGGTTCTCTGCCACCCAGTGACTGTATCTGCGGAGGCTTGTATGTATTTTTTATATATTTAAGCTTAGTTGGTTGCTCGATCGTCTCTAATCTGTAGAAAACGTCAAGTCAATGAGTCATATGCCGTGAAACGGGGCGTGAAACCGTCAACGCCACCTGCCAATGAAAGTGCGCATCATTGCAACTCTTATGTGCTTGAGGAATGTACATGTCTGTTCACCAAAGAGAATGTGACAGTCATGCTGGGGTGGTTTTAATCTCGACTGACGGCTAGACTTTGCTGGGCAGACCAGCTTCAAAAGATGTGCACACAGACCGAGGGGTTGACAACTCGGCTTTTTAGTGTAGAGAGGAGTACAGTCGGAGTACACGGAGTACAGCTGCAAGGAGAACAAAGTTCGGGTGAGATACACCCAAAAGTTTGGATAAATTTGACAGAAAAGTACGATCCAAAGCTTTTCCAGGTATGGTCACCAAATCTTCTGGTCGTGAGTTTAGTGTACTGGTGCAGGTTTCAGCCTGACACCAAAATTGATTTGATGTACTGTTGAAAAGAACAATCCAAACTCAGCTTTGCTGTCTGCCCTGAACTTTTCTTTCCGTGTGGAGTACATAGGAGTACGTCAGTAAACAACCGAAGTACAGCCGGAGTACAGCAAAATTTTCTCCCAAAGAACGCTCGGGGTCCAGTCGGAGTACATTCAGAGTACGTCAAGCCTCGTATACAGAGGAGATCACGAGTTGTCGACCCCTGCTCGACACAGACGCATCTTGCAATGGCCGTCCCTTGCCATTTAGAGTGCGCACGGGCGTGGCCTGGTGTGTCCGAAGGGCGTTCTGCTCCCTTTGGTGACCCGGCTTGCACGCACGGGCGTGCCGTGCAGTGCCTTGCGGCTAATATTAGAGGTGTTAAAAATACGGGCCATTGTGTGTCCCGTTATACAATCTCAGCCCCGCGGCCGCTGGCGTCCGCTGGCGGCAGCCTTGGTCCACCCCGCCCCGTCGCCGCCGCCGCCGCCGCCAGCGGCCCAGCGGCCCAGCGGCCGCCCCCCCGCGACTTTTAAACAGCGGCGCCCTCGGTCCTCGGCGTCGCGCCGCCCGAGAGCGCGTCTTGCGGCGACCCGGGAAACTGCGCCGGCCCTGCACTGTAAATAATGCCCTCGTGTATTTATAATGTTTGTCATCGGATTACAAGCGAATTTGTACGTTCACATGAGCGGTCGTCAATTTACAAGGGCTCTCGTAAATTTACAAACGCAGTCGTCAATGTATGCCAAAGAAACTAGGTTGATTCATAATTTTAAATTTTTTCGTAACTTTCCAATCAGTATTTGTAATTTTACTAGCTAGTTAAATGTGTGTTGCTATATCTATGAGCTCAGTTATCCATGCACACAGAGCTCCGGTGTTAGTTATGAAAATTGTCCCTAGACATTCAGAGTGTGTACGACTTATACGGCGTTTGCTAAAGGATCCAGGGCGACTTTTGGCGCATACCTTTAGGACGCCTTTTTGCTTTTGGCGTATAGATTTCAGTCACCACTCCCACATCACAGTACGTACAGGGCCTCTGATATAGTACTCTGATATATTGGTCATTTTTCTTGCCCCTATCCCCCCATGGTCGTGCTGGTTCCGTTCGATTTTGACGTCACTCACCTCGTGTGTGTGTGTGTGCGGGGGGGCCCTACCAACGGGGCCCTACCCTGTTACTGTGACGCATGCTGCGCTGGGAGGTTCACGACAGCTTGGGCCGATTTCCGAGGCGTCATCGCTGCCTAGGCGCCTCCTAACGGTTCGTCTCGCTGTCGGTAGTGAAGTGGGGGGGGGGGGGCGGCAACGAATAGCACCTGGAAGTGCGCGGTGGGGGTGTGCGCCCCAGCACGGGACGCGTCTCTCTCAGAGCGGAAGTCGAGCGTGTCCGTGTATGTGTGCCCGTCTGCGGGGCCGATTCTTTTACCCGTTTGTAACGACTTGTCATTACACTTATTGACTCGTTGTTGCCCCTCTCTCGCTCTGAGTCACGCCCCCCTCTGATGCCGCGCGGACCCCGACCCGACGTCACTACAGCAGCTCCCCGGCGGCGCCATGGGCGGTGCGGAGCACCCCCCCCCCCCCCTCCACCTCCTCTCCACCCCACTCCTTGCGACGCACAATTAGAACCATCTTCGGACTCTCATGCGCACATTTCGCGCCGACCATGCTCAGATCCGAGGCGATAAGGATTATTTATCCTGCAAACGGAAATTTTGGTAATGCACACAAACTTTTCGCAGATACGAGTATTTGACAACCAAATTACTGTACCTATGTTGTAAGTAAAGTACGTTGCCGTTTACCGCCTGTTTTAGAGCGGACACCGCAGTGTTGCAGGTGTGTCCCTTCGCCCGTAAGGCGCCACAGCCCCGGGGAGAATGCAATGCACGCCACTGTAGTATCTTCTCTCAAACATCCCAAACGGGCAGTTTTTTTTTTTTACTATTTTTATAAACGATAGAAGGCTACTGTCCCTGTTGTTTGCGTATAGTTGAGCCGCTATGCTATGACCATGATGGTCGCAACTTGCTGATCGAGACTAGAGACTTGCTTTCAGCTCTCTCCGTGTGTTGTACCGACGCCACGCCCCGAAGCTGGCGCTGCGGAGAGGGAGCAAGTAGAAGTGTGAAGCGGCCCAAGCAGCGCGGGAGGAAGTGGAAATGAGTGTACCAGCTTGCGCTGCTTGCGCATGGCACATGTGGCCCGTATGGTGTGGCGAGAGAGCGGCCCCTGTCAAGTGTCACTACGGCACTGCATCCCCACCTCAACCGACAGCAACATTGTGTTGGCCCGCCACCGGGGGGAGGGTCATTGCCCGAAAGAGGCTTTTTGTAGCGCATCCCCTGAGTTGCATCTCAAGCGTAAACTTGTTTAAATACCTTGAGGTGCCGGGTGTCTCTTTTAATGTGCTGTTGTGGGATTGCATTACTCGCTAGGGGGACCATGGCGCCTTACTGACGGAAGGTAGGCCAAGGGAACCAGCAACACTAGAGTAAATTTAAAGATACACCCCATGGTGCATTC